GAGAGAGAGAGAGAGAGAGAGAGAGAGAGAGAGAGAGAGAGAGAGAGAGAGAGAGAGAGAGAGAGAGAGCGCGCGGCCGAAAAGCTCGCGAATTAAATGAGCAAAAGTTGAAGTTTGGCGCCGTGGCAGCGAAGTCGTTAAATGTTGTGACATTTTAAGGACGCCGTTTAAACTCGCTCCCCCTCCCCACCCACAGCGCGGTCGACGAAGTGGCGGGGTAAAAAGACCCGACCTGTCAAAGCCGATGACGACTGCAAACTGCCCCGGGAACGAGGAGCTGGACTTCAGGCTGATCTTCGGAGAGGACGTGCAGCCGCCGCCGCCGTTAGGCCCCGTAGGTCAGTGAGTTTTACGGTTTCCAGGCTCGGTGTGTTTGACTGTGTAGTAAACTTTGAGCGCATTGTAAGTTACTCATCTGCTACTGTTGCCTTAACTTTACCCGCTGTCACACAACACACACACAGCCACATTGTGTGTGTGTGTGTGTGTGTGTATGTGTATGTGTGTGTGTGTGTGTATGTGTGCGCGCGCGCATTTTGAGGCTTTTTAGTCTTAAACCCTTTCATGTATAATTTCTGCTGAAGCCGTCAAACAGACCACCAGCTGTCATTAGCTCGACATGCTAAGTTAGCAGCTACTGCTTTTTTTGTTGTAGTTTTCGCAACAGACGTCTTGTTACAACGTCGTAAAGGCTGTCATCACCCCCTCCCCAGTGTTGTAAATTTACATGTGCACCCTTTTTTATATTTACAGTCAGCCTTAATAAAACGGTGCAAATATGAATGATTCTGTGAAGTTATCCCAAAACAAACATATCAAGTGTGCAGAAGTGGCCGATCATTTACTGCATTAATTCCAAATTTGTTTAACAAATTGGTTAAAATGAAGCTTATTCTTAAGCAGAGTTCCCCCCTCTCCAAACAAAACATTAAACCATGTTTTTCAGTGCTGTCAGTGACACAGCAGGGATATCACATTTAAAAAGGTTTGCATACAGGTGAGGAGCGCCAGTAGGCTTGAAAACAATAGAGCAGGGGTGCCCAAACATTTTCCCCGAGGGGGCCAAAATGACAATCTATCCAGGGCTGCGGGCCAAATGCAGTTATATAATACATGAAATACAAATACTTTTTAAGTAAAGTCCTTTATTTTTAACGATTAAGCTATGCAATAGCCCTCTTTTGTTTTAGTCTGCACTTGGAGAAAGTCTGCCATATGCTCAAGTAGCAAAGGCTCATGGGACATTTTATAAATTGATAAAATATGAGTTTTTGTGGCCTTATAAAGTGTGCAAATCTACATGTGGGGTTAAATCTGATCTAAATATTTCTTGTTGTTGTTTCATGTTTAATCCTAATAAATCAAAGATATGTCAGCACCATGACTGAAAACTACCTTCACTACAGCCCTTTTATATAGCCATGTGACCAATGGAAATACTGTGTTTCTACCTATAGGATAACAGGTTACAACCTTGTAACTTTGGCAACTGTTGGTGGGCCAAATCAAATGGCTTGGCGGGCCAAATTTGGCCCGCAGGCCCCACTTTGGTCTCCTCTGCAATAGAGTATGCTGCTGTTCGTCAGCTTTTGAATTGGTCCTTCATCAGGAGCATTATAGTTGGGTTCATGTAGCCTATGTGGTGTCTGCAAAGTAACAAAAACTTATGTTGTCAAAAGTTGTATTTTGATTACAAAATATGTGAAAGACGGAGTCAAAATTCTGCTGTAATGTTTGTAAGACAGTCGTGTTTGGATTGCTTAACGGTCTTCTTCTTTTCGTTCGGCTAAACGTCTTTTGGTAAAAATAAAAGTTTTAAACACGCCGATGTCATCTACAGAAATGCTTCGAAAACACTGCTCTTTAAAGTGGGCACCCTTTGCCATGCTGCTATTCAATTTGTCATCGAAGCTCCCTCTAGCACTCATCGTTAAACCTTGCAGTCCCTGGTGCAGACAACCTCACTGGTTTCTGTTGATTTATAAGACCTTAATCCTATCTCTGGTCACTACATCCGCAATAATGCTCCTACTCTGTTCCAGGAGCTACATTAATCTTTGCATCCCTAAAGCATGCACATCTTTTAACCATCCTCTCATTTCAGCTTTACTCTGTTCTATTTTTTCAACAATTAGAACCATTTAGAAGTGACTCTAAAGATCACTTCTTTCATCCTGTTTATTTAAAAGTTCTGTGAGGGCATCGCTTCACAATCACATACCTTTGTTCTGTAGGATGATGTTTGGTTATCTGTTGTGAGTAGGCTGCCACAAACGACTATTTTAATAATCGATTAATCACCGATTATTTATTTGATTAGTCGACTAACCGGATCATACGTTAATTGAATATAAAACATACAGCTTATCGTGCCAGAATGCAGCTGCTATTATATAACTATCGTTAGATTTTAGCTATATGCTAACTAAAATAATAGCTGTGGAAGGTAAGATCTGCTCTGCAGATATTACACAGGTTTCTCTTTCATTTTCTTAAAATGATCCCACACTTTGAGCTCTGTTGTCAGGTAGCCATGATACCAGAGCCTGTCTGTATAATGTCTTGTGACGTCCACGGCCTACCCCAGTTACCACTACTGTACATGTGTGTCAAGGACAGAAAGGCAGATGTGGCAGTGGAAGGTGTCAAAGCAGTTTGGAGAGAAAAACAAAGTAAAGAACAACAACAACAAAAAAGAAAACGATTAATCGATTATTAAATTAGTCATCGATTATTTTAATAATCGATTAGTCGTCGATTAATCGTGGCAGCCCTAGTTGTGAGTTATCATGCCGTCCTACCCTTTTCATGTTGCTGCCACTTGGCCAGGTCGTTATTGAAATAAGAATTTGTTCTCAAGTGACTGACCTGGTTAAAGAAAGGTTTCAGGGATCAAAAACTATGAGGTGTGTGTGTTTATGCATGTAAATGCAAACACATTTTAGTTGTTAAAATAATGACATGCGGCTCCAAAAACAACAAGTTGTGCTTCATTTAATAATGTTCAGAGTCTTGCAGATTGGCTGCCTCAGTACATCTTTCAGGTCTTGAAGTAAAGTGACAAAAGTGTAGTAAAGAGTTTTTTTTAGTGGTTCATCAGAATAAGTCCAAACACTCACCTTAGGAGAGGGCATTCTTGAAGGTGAGATGAGCCACAACATTAACACCATGACAAACTTCAGGAAGAACCTTTCTGTGTTGGTTATGTTCTGTCTTTACATGTTATATCTGCTTTTTTTTGTTCCACAAAGTAATTTTTTTACAGAGTCGCTAAGAGAATAAGATACAACAGAAAAATAAACATGATGATTAGCTACTAAAACAAGTAAATTAGATCTCGTTGAAGTTGTTTTGTTTTGTCACAGGTTGCACACCTTTTTTTTCAGACTTTTTGTAAAAAAATATATAAATACGCCTAAAGTTTATCTAAGATCTGTCTCAGAATCTATAAATTGTCTGTTGCTGTGACAATGCAGTACCAAGACATGAAAATAGTCTTGCCTGACTGTCACAGTAACTTGAGATGATGGCATTGCATTTATATAGCGAGGCTTCTGTCGCAGGTTTCACCTGTCATGTCGATGTGAATTAAGCAATTCGTGTGTCTTTTCAAAGATGTTAGACACATCAGAGGTTAGGACAAGCGTTTAGAAAGGGTGTTTTCAATTGGAATTATAAGGTATAAGTTCTCTCTTACAGATACGCATCAGTTACGTTCTTGAGTAAGCTTTGCCAGCATCTGGAAAATGTCAACTTTGACCCTCATTTCTCATTCATACCTTAAAAAACAATGAGGGCACAACAGTCCCGCCCTGCAGTGAAACAAACATTAAAACTCCTTGTTAACTTAGGTGTATACCATACTATCTGTCATTCTTTTTAGGTAAAAAATAAATAAATGTAAACCTTTAAAGAAAAAGAATAAAACTTAAATAAAATAATTTTTTTATTGTCAATTTGGTTAACTTTCATACTATAATTTCATAAAAGGGCCATCAATTAAATATATCATAAACTAGCTTTTGTTAGTAACAAATAAAGTTTGAAATGTTTGTTTTTGTACAGGAGTTCATAGGTTTGAAACTCTAGCTATGCTAACGTAATTGCTCGTTTTGTCGACCCACTGTAAAAGTCACCACGTTTCACACAGAATAATTTTGGAAGCCTAATTTAACAAACAAACAAACAAACTTACCTTGTATTCAATGTCACGTCTCAGGATTCAATAAATAATGATAAATAATATAAGTAATACAAACTGATCATTATATTTTGTAATTTATACATTGTTTATATACATATTGACCATGTGATCTGATGAAGCGTTTCCTTTAGCTATAGGTATGTTTTCAGGAAGGCTGATTTTACTAGGTTTGTGAGAAATATAAAATGTTCTGTGATTTTGCCATATGGTATAAAGTACATAGCTTAATGATGCTACGAATGTCACAAGCTGGTTTTGAACCCACACCAGTTAATCAATCCATGTTTAGTTCAGTTTCATCTTTTGTTTCGTTTCTGGGCATCACTCAGTGGAACGTGAATTCTTGTGGCTGTATCCTGTCATAAAACTTGGACAAAATAAAATGACTCCTTTTTAAAAATTTGGTTTCTGTATTTTCCCCTTGAATTTATTTTTTATTTTTTAAAGGAGTTTGATTTGGATTGGAGACGAAAAGGGGGAAAATCCATTTGAAATAAGCACTGGAATAAAAGCTCCACTGTGCAAGTGGCTTTAATCTCGTCTTGACTGTAGTACAAGGCCTACATGGTAAACAGATGGAGGTACCTGTCTGAATTAATAACTGGAGTGAAGTACAGGAACAGTCAGCCACAATATATTTCTCACTTCTGTGTTAGTTTCCTTATCTAAAGTCAAGGCTCAAATTGGCTCATTTTTTAACAACCAGGGCAAACTTTAATGTGAACATCTGAAGTTTCTTTTTTCTTCAGTCACTTGTAACTTGAATAAACTCGTCTTAAGTTCTACGGTAATTCAGTCTCTTATAAGCAGGTGGTAACAACTCTCAATGTGAAGACAGGAAAAGTTTTATTTTTTTAACAGATGCACCACGAGTGTGCAGCTTTCATCTTTTAAAGTACAGCCCTCTTCAATTATTATTTTTTTTATTGAACGTTCGCTTCCTGTTCATTACCAGCCCACCTCTCGGTTAGGTTGCTGTTTTCTTGTGTATGTGACGTGGTTACAAAATCATTGTAATGGCACAGTAAACTACACCTCTATGTCTGTCTTTTTTTCTTCTCTTCTTTATTGTCTGCTTGTCTGAGTGCCTGCCTCTTCTACGAGTGTCACTGTTTTTTCTTGTTGCTCAGGAAA